TAAGACTCTGGCAAACAGTTAGACTTTTGAGCTTAATGAGACCTTGACCTTTTGGACATACAGACCCCAAAGTGATATACTGCATACTGCCTTGCCATCCTGCATGTGTTTATAAAGAAGTTCAAAGAGAAATCTTCAGCAAGTCAGAAGTTAGGACCAGAGCAATCATTTGACCTTAATGTGACTTTGACCTTGGGCATATAAACCCAATCTTGGTTTGCGACACACTGCTTTGCTATCCTTCATTTACCCATCTTTTGTCCAAATTTCACTGAACCATCTTCAGCGAGGCGCAAGTAAGACAAACAGAACGACAGACAGACAATAGGGCAAATACATACACATACGGTATCCATATGTAGTGGCCACTCTTCGTATACAGATACAAGTGAAATGGCACCTACTTATTTACAGATACAAATGAAACTTTTATCAAATTCAATAATATTTACAATTCCTTATCAGGTTAAACATGGGCTAAAATGCTTCAAAGATCTTACTGCTATTGAATCTCCGTCTGCACTCATGATGTCATCCAAGTCTGATTGGCTGAGGTTGAGGATGTTACGTGCCAGACTTTGTGCTTTCTGAAGAGAAGCATTCCCATGGCTTTGATTCTGACTCTGTCGCTGAATCTGTTCTTCCTCGTCTCTCCTGGCGAGAATATCCTTCAGCTGGGAGCGAGTCTGCCCAACTCTCCTTACCAAGTCATTTGCCAGACCCTAACACATTTCAATAAATTACACATTTAATTGAAAATCATCAATCCAAGCTTTTGTATCCAAATAAACTTGCTTTCCAAAACTCATATTTAGGAAATAAATAAATTAATGTCCAGAACTATCTATTGGTAATTGTTACAACACTTGACTTTCAGTGACAAATTGTTTGTCGAATCTAAACCATGAAGACAATTACAATGGGACAATTTGTTCACTGTTATCTTTACATGTATTTAAAATCAACAGTTTGTTAATTAGTTATACAGGCCATGTGTTTAAATCTAGTGAGACATTGATTATCCCTAGTCTGAGGGGTTACTTGGTGGAGCATTACTCTATACCCAGAATCTTTTGATTGGCAAATATTCCTCCTCCCCCGATGAAATCCATATTCACCAAGTGTAAATTTCAGCCTACACATATACACACTACGTAAAGCAGGTTGTGTACTAATGTTCCATCTCGTGATAAATTCACCCCTAAACCAGCAGATGGAAACATACAAAAGTTTAACTCCAGCGAAAATGTCCTTGTACAAAGTGTCTTAAAAACAGTGAGTATATCAGAACTGATGATTTCTGTTGGAATAAGATTATTGTTTGATAAATCAATGTCACAGAAACAACAGCAGTTTTCCTAACAACATTTATTATACCGTTTTCTATAAACGTACCTTGACAAAGTGTTGATGTGTTTGTACTTTTCCGTAGGCGAGGCTGAGTTTGTCCTGAGCAGCCTCAATGGCAGCCTCACTTTGATTTGCGAGTCCCCGTAGCTGTTGTTGTGCTGTGGCCTCTAACTCGCCGACAGCATCCTCAAGCTCCATCTTCTTATTCTGACAGTCCATCAGTAGCTTTGTCTGATAGCAACAACATATACACAGTTACACTGGAGAAATCTTCCTACTGTCATAGAACTAACATATACACAGTTACACCGGAGAAATCTTCCTACTGACATAGACATAACATATACACAGTTACACCGGAGAAATCTTCCTACTGACATAGAACTAACATATACACAGTTACACTGGAGAAATCCTCCTACTGACATAGAAATAACATATACACAGTTACACCGGAGAAATCTTCCTACTGACATAGAAATAACATATACACATTTACAGCTGAGAAATCTTCCTACTGTCATATAAATAACATATACGCAGTTACACCGGAGAAATCTTCCTACTGTCATAAAAATAACATATACACAGTTACACCGGAGAAATCTTCCTACTGTCATA